TTAGTGCCCTCTCAAGGCTCTACTTTACTCATTCTACCATACAATGCAGAAACATGAGTAAATAAATGTTTGTCGTTTATTAGTCAAATAGTTAATGGATCACCATAACATGTTGTCACCACTTGAACCCGACGATCCACATTCTACGAGTTATCCTCCTCAGATCCAGTTTGTCCACTGGAACTCGCACATCTACAACAGTATTGAAGAGGCGGTGGGCAGCAGACACGGGATTGCCATTGTTGCCATGTTTGGTCAGGTAGGTGGACATTATATAGGCTGTTGTGTTTGTTAAATAGGTGGTCATTCTATAGGCTGTTGTGTTTGATAAATAGGTGGACATTCTATAGACTGTTGTGTCTGTTAAATAGGTGGACATTATGTAAGAGTTGCGTCTGTTGAATAGGTGGACATTATGTAAGAGTTGTGTCTGTTGAATAGGTGGACATTATGTAAGCTGTTGTGTTTGTTAAATAGGTGGTCATTATGTAAGAGTTGTGTCTGTTAAATAGGGGGACATTATGTAAGAGTTGCGTCTGTTAAATAGGTGGACATTATGTAAGAGTTGTGTCTGTTAAATAGGGGGACATTATGTAAGAGTTGTGTCTGTTGAATAGGTGGACATTATGTAAGAGTTGTGTCTGTTGAATAGGTGGACATTATGTAAGAGTTGTGTCTGTTAAATATGTGGACATTATGTAAGAGTTGTGTTTGTTAAATAGGTGGACATAATGTAAGAGTTGTGTCTGTTGAATAGGTGGACATTATGTAAGCTGTTGTGTTTGTTAAATATGTGGACATTATGTAAGAGTTGTGTTTGTTAAATAGGTGGACATTATGTAAGAGTTGTGTCTGTTAAACAGGTGGACATTATGTAAGAGTTGTGTTTGTTGAATAGGTGGACATTATGTAAGAGTTGTGTCTGTTAAATAGATGGACATTATGTAAGAGTTGTGTCTGTTAAATAGGTGGACATTATGTAAGCTGTTGTGTTTGTTAAATAGGGGGACAATATGTAAGAGTTGTGTCTGTTAAATAGGTGGACATTATGTAAGAGTTGTGTCTGTTAAATAGGTGGTCATTATGTAAGAGTTGTGTCTGTTAAATAGGTGGACATTATGTGAGAGTTGTGTCTGTTAAATAGGTGGACATTATGTAAGAGTTGTGTCTGTTAAATAGGTGGACATTATGTAAGAGTTGTGTCTGTTAAATATGTGGACATTATGTAAGAGTTGTGTCTGTTAAATAGGTGGACATTATGTAAGAGTTGTGTTTGTTAAATAGGTGGACATTATGTAAGAGTTGTGTCTGCTAAATAGGGGGACATTATGTAAGCTGTTGTGTCTGTTAAATAGGTGGACATTATGTAAGAGTTGTGTCCGTTAAATATGTGGACATAATGTAAGAGTTGAGTCTGTTAAATATGTGGACATTATGTAAGCTGTTGTGTCTGTTAAATAGGTGGACATTATATAAGCTGTTGTGTCTGTTAAATAGGTGGACATTATGGAAGAGTTGTGTCTGTTAAATAGGTGGACCTTTTTGGAAGAGTTGTGTCTGTTAAATAGGTGGACATTATGGAAGAGTTGTGTCTGTTAAATAGGTGGACATTATGGAAGAGTTGTGTCTGTTAAATAGGTGGACATTATGGAAGAGTTGTGTCTGTTAAATAGGTGGACATTATGTAAGAGTTGTGTCTGTTAAATAGGTGGACATTATGTAAGAGTTGTGTCTGTTAAATAGGTGGACAGTCTGTAAGGGTTGTGACTGGTAACCAGTTCGACATTATGTAAGAGTTGTGTCTGTTAAAGAGGTGGACATTATGTAAGAGTGGTGTTTGTTAAATAGGGGGACATTATGTAAAATTTGTGTCTGTTAAATATGTGGACATTATGTAAGATTTGTGTCTGTTAAATAGGTTGACATTATGTAAGATTTGTGTCTGTTAAATATGTGGACATTATGTAAGAGTTGTGTCTGTTAAACAGGTGGACATTATGTAAGAGTGGTGTTTGTTAAATATGTGGACATTATGTAAGAGCTGTGTCTGTTAAATATGTGGACATTCTGTACAATTTGTGTCTGTTAAATAGGTGGTCATTATGTAAGAGTTGTGTCTGTTAAATATGTGGACATTCTGTACAATTTGTGTCTGTTAAATAGGTTGACATTATGTAAGAGTTGTGTCTGTTAAATAGGTGGTTATTATGTAAGAGTTGTGTTTGTTAAATAGGTGGACATTCTGTACAATTTGTGTCTGTTAAATAGGTGGACATTATGTAATAGTTGTGTCTGTTAAATAGGTGGAAATTATGTAAGAGTTATTTCTGTTAAATATATGGACATTATGTAAGAGTTGTGTCTGTTAAATAGGTGGACATTATGTAAGAGTTGTGTCTGTTAAATAGGGGGACATTATGTAATATTTGTGTCTGTTAAATATGTGGACATTATGTAAGAGTTGTGTCTGTTAAATAGGTGGACATTATGCAAGAGTGGTGTTTGTTAAATATGTGGACATTATGTAAGAGCTGTGTCTGTTAAAAATGTGGTTATTATGTAAGAGTTGTGTTTGTTAAATAGGTGGACATTCTGTACAATTTGTGTCTGTTAAATAGGTGGAAATTATGTAAGAGTTGTGTCTGTTAAATAGGTGGACATTATGTAAGAGTTGTTTCTGTTAAATATGTGGACATTATGTAAGAGTTGTGTCTGTTAAATAGGTGGACATTATGTAAGAGTTGTGTCTGTTAAATAGGTGGACATTATGCAAGAGTTGTGTCTGTTAAATTGGTGGACATTCTGTAAGAGTTGCGTCTGTTAAATAGGTGGACACTTGGAGGTGACAGGTTCGATTTGCTGCATGGTACCTATAGCTTTATATTTTTGTGGTGTCTAGTGTGTCCTTCTATTTTTCTACGTCTTCCTATCAATACATTGCATGTTATGACAGTGAATGGGTGTTTTGTTTCTCCTTTGTTTAGGTCTTTGCAAGTCTACTTATTTCGTAGTATGCTTCAGTGGGCCGGAATCCAGAACTATTTTATTTTTTTTATTATTTTATTCTGAGAGTTTAACTGGTGGGTCATTTCCTGCAGTCGCCATGGCGGTGCGGATCGAAAGGTCAGGGGTTCGCTCACTGGCGGATCCAAGCTTTTTTTTTCAAGAATGGCCTTTCTCCCAGCCTTGAGTGGGAACCGGGTGTAGTCTCGTGAAGTAAAGGCACGCGGCGTGATGCTGACCACATCACCAATCTTGTGTCGACTGGTCTATAAAAAACAATAGGTCTAGCCCTATATGCCCTATACGCCTTAAAGCGTGGAAAGAAGGTCATTTACCTTTTTACTTCAATTCCCTCTTCATGTTGTCTCGTGGATCTGACCAACTCGCCGGGAGGACTGACACGAAGTAGGACCTTTCATTCTTGTGAAAATTCTGTATGATTTCAGGTTGGCCGAGAACACATGGGTTTGAAAAGCATCACAGACACTTTAGAAGATGTGTTATATAAAGTAAGTCCGAATGTCTCTGGCCAGGGTAAGATGATGTGTGTTGAGTTGGAATAACAATTCAGACATTTATAACAATTCCAGCAACGGTAACAGTT